GACTCTTGACTGATATTCATATCTACTTAAAATCTTCGTTAAAGCAATTTTTTTCTTTATATTATAAATCAAAATGAATTATTGTATCATCTTAAAAACACTTTGAAACTAGTAAACACGATAATTTCAAAACATTCAGTGGTTTCAGCTCTTTTATTTGCTCTACGTATTTAGTCTAGTCGTCCGACCAGAGAGCAACCTTCAATAGCCGCATGGAACTGCAGTGTTGCCGTGTCACAAATTATGCTTGCAGTAGAAAGTAACACCTGGGATGCAACTTTGTTCATGTTTCAAAGCGATAGTAAAGTAATTTGTAGCTTGACGCACTATGTTCAGTAGCAACATCGATTCATAGCGATATTCTGATTTCTCGCTTTGTGGCGAGGCGACTGCCTAGACATAGCCTAGACCGAGTGTGATAGTGATATCATATATCGCCGCATTTGGGGCCGTAATCTACGCCCTCAAAATAGGGTGTATACCAATTTTGGTGAAAATCGGACGATTTCCACTTTTCCCAATAATTACCAAAGAGAAAAAAATTGTAAATTTTTGTAAAAATTTGTCAAACCCTGGAAGATAAACCAAGTACCAGTACTGGACACCTTGCAGCAACATTCAGTAAAAGAGTTTTAAGTGAACAAGAACCCGAGACCATCACGAGCAGAAATGAAAATAAAATTCAAAAGACTACTGGAAATGAAGTTTGTCCATCAATTACCTTAATAATTTTTTTAAACCGCGACATTAAAATGAACAAAAAAAAAGTTATTAAATAAAATTAAAATATTATTTGTTTATAGTCTCATTGTTAGTAATATTATTCTGTGAATTACGGCAAAAACTTTTTAATCAAAATTTAAATATAAATTTCAATTCGATCGTAGAAAAATGTTGTGTACAACATGTGCGAACATATTTGTTACACTAGTTACACAAATAACTATTCGTACTTTTATACTTCGGCGTAAAAGTGCTTTACTTCTATGCCTAGGCTTGCCTAGGCGTTAATATGACTTTTTTATATTGTCAATCACGTCATTAAAATTAATACTTTTGTGATCTTTGAAAAAAAAATCAACTTTTTGCGCTGTTTAATTTGGGGAAAATAATGACCAATATATTTCAGGAACCGTGTTCCGTAATAATAAAAAATTGAGGCAAGACATAGAAAAGGAACAGAAAACTATAATCAAGGTAAAAAACGGAATGCAGCCGTTTATTGTAAATTAATTCGAAAAATTAATCTGTTTCTATTGGGTATTTGTCAAATTTCACAATTAAAGATAAATTTGATACAAATCGCTAAAAAATGTGTTGTCTGGTCGAATTTTGAAATATTTCATTTGAAAAAAAAAGTTATAACATTGAGATGAAAGAAAAATAGGAAATGTTAAATAATAGCAGCCGATTCTTTTAAACTTGAAAATAAAAACAAGCAGAAAAATATTCTTAAAGTTTATTTTTCAAAATTAATTTAGCTTACCAAAGCTTTTGAATTGATGGTTTTTTGAATCAGTAGTTCAAAAACCTCTTTGTTAATGTTAACAAACAGTTTGTGCGTATATCGAACAATAATAATTAATGGACCAATATTTTGTTTATTCAATATGTATGCAAAATTGAACGTACATGTAGGTATTTATGGATTAAATGATTAAACATATGACAACACTGGAGGTTATGAGTTACATGTATAGATTGTTTATTCGAACATATCGTTTTAAATGCATATTGATACACTAATAGCAAAACAAGCAATTTTGTAGAGCAACGAGCTATTTTTAAATTCAGCCTCTAAAAATCGAATTGAAATGTAAATTTGTGATGTTAGAATTATTTATAACGTTCTCTTCAATTACGGAAATAAGTCATCAAACAAACAATCTTTGCAGTGAATATAATCTTTCTGAAGTACAATTCACTCTAAAGTATAGTAGTATCAATCATCGAGTAGCGTCACTTCGGTTCCGAAATTTACAAGTGCATGCGCGAAATACACAGATAGTAAAGGCAATAAAACATGATATTAACATTTGAGTGCGAAACGTGTTGTTGTTTGCTGTGTTTTTAATAATTATTATTAATAATGCCAGGAACGTGTTGTGCGTATCACCCTTGTTTAACAAGACCAGGAGATAAGAAATCCATGTTTTCATTTCCCAAAGACTATGATCAGTAAATACATTTAACAATGTATTATAAAGTATTTTATGTGTCCACTTCAAGTTTCTTACATCGTATTCGACATAGTTCACATTTTCAGCAGTGTATTAGTCAGGATCACCTTCAAAGCCGGCGGCTAAAATTGGAACATCAAACATCAAAGGTTTCGACGCTTACTGTCGCTACTCGTTCGTTTGTTATACTTTGGTAGTATTTCACCAAATTTTATTTTATTTATTAGTTTTGTAGAGAGTGTGAATAAAGGACAATTATTACACTAAAATCTTTGACCTTAGTTCATTAATACTCGATATTTTTAAATAAAAAATGTGATAAACTTCTATTGTTTTTAATTTTATTTTTACACAACTAGATACTATAGCTTTGTTCCAACGACGGAAAGAACCGTACTCGGTACGGTAACGCTTCTGCGCAGTGGAGAAAAAGCGTTCCAACCACGAGAGAATCGTTTAGTGAACGATAACTTTTGCGTTCCAACAAGACTTGTCACCGTTAGTGAATCGATTCCGGGACCGTAATTTCGATACCAGCCTGAAAGCAAGAATCATAGGGACTGACATGCGCATTAAGAGTGTGTCAGCAGATCACTGATTTTTTCTGGACTTTAAGTTCCTTTAGCCATTTCTCTTATTAATTTTAACAGTTTATGTTAAATGTGTTTAATGTTATTTTGACGACGCTTTGAAGCTTAAAGTTTTATTTGATGTTTATCGTGCATTTATTTTAAATATTTCTCTATTTTTGAACTATGATGAGTGACGAAGAGGACCGCGATATCGAGTCTTTGTTGGATACCAGCGAAAATGATTTGAACGAATGATTCAAACGTACAAATATAAATAAATCTCCCCCCAATTTATTAATCATTGTCTTATAGTGTATCGTTCAAGCACGTAAGTACCGTACGATCGAGAAAAAACGGCGTCCAGTTGGCTTGGAAATGATGATCAATGCCATTCTCCATATAACTTTACATATAAAAAATGACAGAGCAATAGCTTACGCCGTTTTTTTTTGTTCGATTATACGGTATATTGCTTATTTTGAATCCCTTAGTTAATAAAAATCGTATAAAAAAATCTACCTAACTCTTACATCTAACCAATAACAATAACAAAAAATAAGGTTATGAATTGGATTCCAGCGTCAAAGACGTCACAGCGGCCAGGACGAATTCTAAAATCGATTCCCAAACCGTTCCAACTGCATTTAATTTTGGTATCGTAACGGAACTGTCCAAGTCGACACATGCGCACAAATTCGATCCCGGCGATACCAATAACCGTTCTAGAACGGTCCTAATTTCTGCGTTGGAACAAAGCTTATGTTTCACTTACAAGTACCATAATCATTTTTAGCTTATTTAACCATTTCCAATTATGGTATAGCCTTCCTCACATATTTAGACACTGTCTTTGTAGTTGGACCCATTGTTGTCTATATTGTTGACTATATACGGGCCCAAATTATCTCTGCTAATTTTCTAATATCATGGCCCTATCTTAGGTTTGGTCTTCTTCTAGGTATTTTAATTTCTCGTGGGTACAATGCCGTAATTTTTGTGCTACATCTGTTGTCCGTCCTTCTTGCCCTGCCCATTGTCACTTTGTAATGTTCTTATTTGAGGTTTGCAATTACATGCTCTGAAGGAAACTAGGACTACATAAAAATCAACTTTATTTTCAAGTAAATTGTACAAACTGTTCTTGTGTAAATCTTATAGTAATTAAATTCGGTTAATCCATATTAGCATATCGCGCGACATCCAATAATGCATAGTTGCATTCCTAATATTATATAAACAACTAGGTAATTCTAAACATATAATATTAACTGTCCTTAATTAACTTAACTTAAGAAATACTTATATCTAAACTATTATGTAGGGGGAGTATTAATATTAATACACTACACCTACCAGGGGTGAAAAATAAAAAAAGTTTTCTGGACTGATAAAATACTTTTTTTTTCATACTTATGTCTTAGCAACAAAATTAAAATACTACTAAAATTAATTTTCCTAATTATAATACAGTTTTACTTTGTTTTTATGTACTTCTTTATACTTCCCGTTCACTTCTATCACTAAATTTCTGTCTTTTACTTCTTTCACTTTATATGGGTCCACAAATAAAGGATCCAACTTATTATCTACACTCTTATTTTCTAACAAAATCATATCTCCTACGTTATAATTACAAATTTTACAATTTTTGTCATAATTTTCTTTACGCTTATTTTTTGATGCCAGCAAATTTTTCAGCGCGTCGATCCATGCAGTTTGTAAGCGAACTTTTAATTCTTTTGGATAGTCATCAAAATTATAGATTGGGTCAATATTACTATTTACATTCGATGGAATTTTACCGAGTTTTCCGAAAACTAGCTCGTATGGCGTGTATTAGTTGACATATTTAGAGGAAAGGTGCCATATTTCGGATAGATTTTGTTTTTATTTATAATAAAAGAAAATAATTAAATTGGACTTTGGGTATACAGGTGAATATATTTGTAGGGGTATAATAAAAAGTTATACACAATCAAATAAGATTAATTTTAATACAAAAACACTTAAAAAAACTAAAAAAACTAAAATATGCATTTCTGTGCTTTGAAAAAAAAGTTGCCTAATTTCGGATGACATGGTTTCTAATTTCGGATTTAGAGTAAAAGTAATATAAAGAAGGCTTAACGTTAAAAATTAAGATTATTTGATTTAGTTTATGCGTCCATACACATTTCACACACATAATCTTTGATTTGATCATAATTTGCGCATTGCTCATGAACCCATCGGCTACATTTTACACATTTTACCCATTTTTCTTCCCATCTTCCGAAAATAGACCATTACAGAACATACATTCCACATCAACATCACTAGCATTCATGTCAGAATCATCATCGAGTATTGGATCCTCCTCGGAACTACTAGACGACGTTTCAGGTAGTCCTTTTTTCTTTTTTATTGCCAGCTTAGGTTTCTTTAATGGCTTTGTCTTCTTGCCTTCGCTCTTTTCTTGGCCTTTACTTTTATCTTTTTTGTTGCTCTTGCCCTTGTCGTCATTTTCAGTAAAATTTCTTTTAACGTTTTTTTTATTTTTTAGAGACTCTTTTCTCTCTTTTTCATGTATTGAAATTTCTAGCTCGTTCTTGTACGGAGTGCTGGTAATGACATTACTTGATCCTTGCTTCCCTTTGCGTTTTCCTGATGTGTTTTGCATTCCACTACATGAGGGAATAGGAATGATGTCTTCAGCCGTTATTAGAGTAGAAGGCTTTTTAGCTACTTTTGGGGCTATCAGTGTTTCCTGCTCCTCCCTTTTCTCTCTTTCAGGTGTAGTCTGAATCACCAATTGCTGCACATTTTCAGAAGTATTTAGGTCAAAGTATGAGTCCTGCTGCGGTGGTGTTCTTTCCCTTTGTCTTTCAATAACAAAATCTACATCCGAAAAAGCATCTCTATTAAAGGGACAAATTCCCTATTTGCGAAAACCGTTGACGGATATTTCGGCAGTAGCACACTTTAAATATGCTGAGGACATTAATTTGCATATTTGAAATGCGGTAACGTTGCGATCTGGATTATTTTTCAGCCATGATTGAATTGATTGTGAGTAGTAAGTTTTGAATGGAGCCATGAAAGATAAGTCCAGAGGCTCTAACTTGTGGGATGTATGGGGAGGAATGCAAATAATAGTCAAGTGATTGCTTCGAGCTATCTCAATAACGTCCAAGTTTCTTGTGTGGCTATAGTGCCCATCCAGGACTAGTAAAACTGGATCGTTTTCTGTTGGTTTACCGTGGGCAATAAAATGTTTTAACCATTGTGTAAATATGTGTTGCTGTATCCAATCAGAGGGATGGCAGGCAGCAATAGATCCAGGAGGAGCCCCGTCTAATAATTCTGCTTTCATGTTCTTGCGAGGGAACACGAAAAGTGGTGGAACAAACCCCCCTGCGGCATTCATGCAGAACACGACTGTTACTAAGGCGCCTCTTTCAGCTGCAGTTACTGCGCACACTTGTTTCTTTCCCTTTAAAGAAATGACGCGGGGATGTTTGGACTGGACTGTTGTTATGCCAGTTTCGTCCACGTTATATATTCGTAAAGCATTGAATTTAATTTTTTCCATTGCTGGCTCAAGTAAATCAAAGAAATGATCAATATTTTCCTTTGTGAAGCCCTTTATTCTAGCTTTTGATAAGCCTTGTGGTTTATGTAGCGTTAAGTTTTTATTTCTTCTTAAAAATGCACGTAACCATTTTTTCCAGCTTGGCCTTTCTCACGAGAAAATCTATGCGAACATCCATTTTTTTCAGCAAGTTGGTAAGCAAACCTTCTGATGTCTGTTGTACTTAGACCAAAGAAACGTCGATCCATTTCCAAACAATAATCAACTAACATCTTCTCCAAGTCTGGCGAAAGGCCAGGTCTTCTTCCGGCTGGAGCTGGAGAACTGCCACGCTTGACATAGTCTTCTAAAGTTGATTTTGGAACATTAAAAGGGCGCGAAGCTTTCAAATATCCCATTTCTTTGTTTTTTTATGGCATCAATAGCGTTCTGCATGCTTTCTGAAGACCAGGTTTTAGGTTTTTTATTTCTTCCAGGCATTTCTGCAACTAAAAACACACCAATAAAATACCTGGTTTGAATATCTGGTCTCCCAATTTCGGATATCCGAAATTATGCAACTGACTCTATCCGAAATTAGGCAACATGTCATTTTGAGGTTAGGTCGCCGGTAAAAATTGTTTACAACAACAAATTGAAATTGTGTTATGTGTAAAATAAACTACAATATTTGACCTACCTTTTTGTATATTTAAAGTCCTAGTTAAACAAAACATCACCACAAAAACAATTGCAAAAGGAAGTAAAAAAATAAACTCAAATAATTCAAATACACGAAACACACCATAGATCGGCTAATAGATGAGATACAACTAATTTTTTAGATAGACATATTATTACTACAGCTCCTCGAAGTTTTACAGAGATTTCGGCAGCTCAACATAGATGGCGTTGGAGATACCATGGTATCCGAAATTAGGGAACTATCCGGGGTTTGGTACCTTTCCTCTACTGTATGATTAAATGAAAAACACCAATATGAAATCCGGTCTATCCAATTATTTTGACTTGAATTTGCTAATCTGATACGAAGATATGCATTCAAATGTTTATGTGAATTTTCTAGTGCACTCAGTGATTCCTGATGATAGGTTGTAGAATTTAATTGATTAATATCGAGTAGCTTACATGTTTCTTTAAAAGTATTAGAAATAAATTCAGAACCTTGATCTGTAACAATCTCTTCCGGGATACCATAGTGTAAAATGAAATTATTTACTAAAGATTTTGCAACCGTTACGGCTTCTTTATCGTACAAAGGGTAAGCTTCTACAAATTTAGTTAAATCGCATTGTATAGTTGAAATGCATTTCAGAAAAAAAATATTTTTTTTTCTGAAATGCTGAAGTAGCCGTTGTTGTTATTTTCAATGTTTTTTTTTTGTTTTTAAAATGTTTATGTTTCTGGTAATCGTCACATTTTTTAACAAAATTTTCCACATCTTTTCTAAGATTAGGCCAAAAATAATATTTTCTAATATTTTTAAATAAACGTTGTATACCTGCGTGACCGCCAGTCGGTAAAACATGAAAATCGTTAATAATAATTTTCCGCAACTCTTTATTTTCTATTCGTTCCACGTCTTTTATCACATTTATTTTTATAGTTAATTTTTTAATTTGATCTTTAGCCTGAACAAGAGTTTTTAAAAATTCGCTACTTTTTTTATTTTTTATGCAATATAATTCCAGAATATTATTTTCTTCGCATAGTTTTTCCAGTTCCCTCAATGACGTACCTAAGTCATACACTGATCGATTGTTCTGGTTAAGATATATTATTTGCGCATCTATGTTATATATAATATTTTTACAGTGCGAATTGGAACGATGTATTAAATTTCTAGATTTTTTAAAGTTTGTATCTGTCAGTTGACGTAATTCAACTGTCTCATCGGTACGTTTAAGCACTTCCACAACAACAAGGTGATCAAGCCTTTTGCTACTGGACATGTCAGAAATGCACCGATTTGCACAAGTTGCCTTTTTTGACTGAGCTCTTATAATTACATTCACCTTTTCAAATGAAGGTAGTATACTTAACTTATACTTATAACTTAAGGAAATGAATGGTAGTATAAATTTACTACCATTCAATTCCTTAAGTTCACTCGATTCCAATTTCACTCGTGATAAAGCATCAGCTGTTACATTTTTAGAGCTTTTTATATAATGTACTGAAAAATCATACTCTTCCAAAGTTAACCTAAATTTTGTTAATCTGCTAGACGGATTAGTCATATTAAATAAATAAATTAAAGGTCTATGATCAGTTAAAATTTTAAATTTCCTCCCAAACAAATAAGGTCTAAAAACTTTTTTTATTTTTCAGCCCTGGGAGGTGTAGTGTATTAATATTAATACACTACAACTTCAGGGATTTGGTTCACTGGATGATATCTATTACCTAAGTCTTTTGTCGTATCCACTCTATTCCTTTATTTGGTTATTCCGTTATTCTCAACATATTTTGCTACATTGAGCGTTTGGTTTGGTGTTCTTGTAATCTGCTGTTCTTATAATGTCCATTTTAGGTGTCCAGGTTTCGCATACATAGGAGATGACTGGTAATACACATTGGTGGAATGTTTTCATCTTTAGATAAAGTGGCATTCTAGATTTGAATATGATTGAGTTTCTTCCATAAGTACTCCATGCTAACTTAATTCTTCTGTTGATTTGTGGTAGTAGAGATCTTGAGCTGGTATTAGTTGCCCCAAATATTATTATATATTCTTCTTCTTCCAGTGTTGTGTTATTGATTAGAACGTCTGTTCTTTCCACTTCGTTGTACATTACTTTAGTTTTTGCTAAATTCATTTTGAGACGTGCTTTATTGCTGGCTGTATTCAGTTCGTTAATTTATGCTTGTAATTCTTCCGAAGTATTGGCAATTAGGACTAAAATCTCATCATCAATCTTAGATGGTTAATATACCGTATGATCGAGAAAAAACGGCGTCAAAGGCGGCTTAGGAATGACTATCGATGCTATTTTTGACGAGATAGAACTCTAGACGTCAGTTACTGAGAATTGACATAAAATTTGTCAAAAATTAATACCTTATATAGAAAAACCAGAAAAGAATAGAAAGTTTCCAGATACACATATCTATTTCCAAAAAATTGTTTTTTCAAATGTTTGGATCTGCACCAGTTCTACTCAATAAAAAATCGATATTAAATCATCCTTAAATGCAGTAAACGCCTTTTTCAAAATATAAAGAAGAGTAAAGGCCAGTAAGACTCTAACCTAACTAAATCTCGTCGTTCGACAAGCCTCCGACCCCTCCGACCGAAACATTTCGACAAAATTTTTGATTATTGTGCTGTTAAAATGTACGGATTAGCCTTTTATTATTGTTTCATACACACTAGACCGTTCAGATTTACTAATATTGCATTGATTGTAGCTGTAAATAAAAATGTGTGTTTAATACCAGTAAATAATCCGTTAGTTGATGAAAGAAGTATCGTGTTTATCGACAAAATTAATTGTAGGCTTTTAAATTTTGCTTAATATGGTCATATTTTACAATATTCAACTCATAATTGTTGATACTTCTGGTGGATGATGTTCAATTTATACATATATAAATTATAAACAAACCAAATTGAAACAATAAGGTGAGAGACAATAAGGTGAGATAGTAATTTTTACGAAATCCCTGTACCTATTATTACTTCTTTACTTATAGAGTATCTGTTCCTGTGTATGCCCAAGTTTCTGTTTTCCAAGAAGCATATTAATTAAATGAACAAAACTGTGTCCAAGAAATAATCTATTGCATAGAGGATTTAATGAAAACAAAATTGGTGATGCTGTAATCACAAAGTTCCATGCAGGAATCAATGGTTATTGCTAAAATATGTTATTGGTGTATTGTCAATTTTATTTACTTATATATTACATTATTTAATCTCAATAATTTTAGGCTGGTAAGTCGTTTATTTACATACCTAACTTTTAACGTAACTACTGGTAGATTGTAGGAAATAATATACACTTTGGAACAATTGAAGTATACATTTCGGTAAGTCAATATCGACAAAGCTTTGATTACAGCATCACCTATTTGGTTTTCTTTAAATAATCTATACAATAGAAAATTTCTTTTAATCACTTTCGAAAATCATAATTTGTTTCATAGAGGTTATACACAGGGGTAGATATTCTATAAGTAAAAAAGTAATGTATAAGTAATAATACAGATTCTTAAAAATATCTCACCTTACCGTTTCTAGTACTTCAATTTAGTGTGTTTATATTTTATATATGTATAAAATTGAACATCATCCACCAGAAGTATCAACAATTATGAGTTGAATATTACAAAATATGACCATATTAAGCAAAATTTAAAGGCCTACAATTAACTTTGATGATAAACACGATACTTCTTCTATGAACTAACGGGTTATTACTAGTAATTGAACACACATATTGGTTTACAGCTACAGTATTAGTAAATCTGAAGGGCCTAGTCTGTATTAGACAATTACAAAAGGATAATCCATACATTTTAACAGTAGAATAATCCAATTTTTGTTAACTCTAGACGTTATCGAAATGCCTGGGACTGGGACGGGCGATAGTTAGGTTAGAGCCTTTTTGATTTTTCTCTTCTTTACTTTTAAAGACGCATTCTGTATTAATTACGATTTACTGGATTTACCTAATATAGATTTTTATTAATTAGAACTGGTATAGTTCAAATTATCAGAAAAACATATTTTTTGGATATAGATTTCTGTATTCGGAAACTTACTGTTATCTTCTAGATTTTCTACATTTAGTATTAATTTTAATTAAAATTTAACTTTTTTGAAGATCTTTAAAGTGAAAAGAAGAAGAATTTTAATTAACTAAAAAAATCAAAATAAAGTTAATTAACTTTGAGCAGAGTTCGTCAAAAATAGCATCGATAGTCATTCCCCAGCCGCCTTTGACGCCGTTTTTTCTCGATCATACGGTATTATATTCCCCATCTATTTTTTTTTG